TTATTGAAATTATTATTAAAATTATTATTATTATTGAAATTATTATTATTATTATAGTTATTATTTCTTTTACTTTTATATTTATTTGTGATATAATCAAATCTTTCACAATTATTGTATTTAATAGAATTATTTCTATTATTAGAGCAGCTATTAAACTGGTTAGCAGTTATTAACTTTTCTAATTTTGAAGTAATACTTTCAATTTATTTTGCTAACTTATTAATTTCAGTATCTATAAATAATATTGACAAGAAAAATAGACCATTTGATATAGCATTATATTGTTAAAAGTTAGAATCATAAGCAGTTACTATATTAATTACTTTTTCTAATATTATAGGACAAGTTGGATTTATAAAGAATTTAATTTCCAGTCTAAGTTCATCTATAAAGTAAAATACACATAAGTAATTTGAATAGATATTAGTCAGATTTATTTTTTAATTAATTCTTTGATAGTTGTAATATATTATTTTATACTTTTATCAGATACTATTTTCTTTATTTTAATTATTATTGTCATTCATATAGTTGATCATGATTTCTAACGTGCTTTTCAAATTGATATATAAATGAAACTTCTTTTGCATTTAGATTAGTATTATCAGTATAATCCCAAATTCTTGGTCATTCTAATTCATATAGCTTTTTATTGATATACTATGTAATAGCTGAATCTTTCAGATAAGCTTTTATTATCTGAATTTTTCTGTTATTACTAATATCATTAGCAATATAAACATTTTCAAAGTCTTGAAGCCAACTAATTGGATCTTGAATATCATCATAAAATTCTATAATTTTGATATAATTGGCTTTCTTTGATCTTCCTAGAGCTATAGCAAGTACTTTAATTTTATATATCAAATTTTTAAATCTGTTATCAGTAGTTGATGAAAATAATTTTCATTTTTCTTATCTTTGCTCATTTCTTCTTTTTCAAGTGGTATTGAGAAGATAAATATTGAAGTGACAAATATATCTTGAATAATTAGTTAGTTGTATTTCTAAATATTTATTAAGTGATGACTATGCTAATATTTATTTAAGAGTATTTGGATTATATTTTTCAAATTATTACAAGATATTTAATAATTCTTTATTTGATTTTAACTGACTTGAATTAGATACTTCTACAGATATATCTTATTATTTTCTCTGTCTTTATTCTGTTAGGTATTTGCTTCTTTTATCTTTGAATTCAAGTATCTCTTGTTGTAATTTATAGAGATATATTTGTATTTCTTTTGTTAGTAGATTAATTTCTTCTTCAATTAGAGTTGCAAAGTCTTTTCTTGCCTTGATTTGGATTTTATTATATATTACTTCTTGATAAAAATAATAGAATTTTTTTCAAATAACTTGATCAGATTTAGTATAATCTTCAAAATATAATTCAATAAATAGTTAGATAAAGAGTCTTTCTCTTTATACTTTGGTTTCTTTGGTTGGATCCACTTTGGTATGTTACAAAATTATTTTTTCAGTTGTCTTTGATTTTCTACTAATTTTAATTTAATTCACAGAGGATTCTTTATCTAAAACTGGCTTGAATTTGATAATCTTATAGAATTGTTTTTTCACAGAGAGAATATTAAAAAGTTGTTATCTTTTTGATATGAGTTCTGAGGTAAAAATGAGTATTTAACTTAATATTACAAAAGCACATGATAAAAGTAATTACATATTTATAATGATATTTGAAAGAGTCTTTAAAAGATTTATTAACAAGAATATAAATACTATTATTTATCTAAAGATAGATAATAATAATATTCTTGTTGTGACTAGTTAAAATGTAATCCAATTCTAAAATATAATTTCAAGACAAATATAATATTCAGTTTATTAATAAGATGAAATAATAGATCTTAATCAAGATCTATTCTACAAAAGAGATTCCTTAGAATTTTCTTAAAACTATAATCTACTTAAAATACAAGTTGAGAATTAAACTTATAAAACTCAAACTAAACTAAATAACTAACTGATTAACTAAGCTAACTTAACTATACTGAACTTACTAGCTAAGATATATCACTTTTATATATTTTAGAGATTATACAAATAATACTTTTGTTATGATACTTATGCTAGTTTTGCTATGATATAAGTGTTACTTTAGCTAGTATCATAATATTAGTTTTGTTATAATAGTATTATTAGTTTTGTTATGATAGTTTTGTCATGATCACAAAACCTTTTAAAAATATTTACAAATAATATTTTTTAAAGCTAATGTCTAATAAGATATAAGTAATTATTTATTCAATCATATCATGATATAAAGTGATCAATAATAAAATTAACTAATATTCTACTAAAAGTTCATATCATAACAGTATATGATTTATCATTTTTGTTCATTGATGTTGAATTTTCTTGAGAAGTATTCAATAATTTCTTGATCTTGCATCAGTACTACTCTTACACCTATTTCACTTGTGTCTGTATATATTTTCATTAATTTCATAAAGTCTAGGTATTTCATTACTGATTCTTTAGTTATTATGACAGATTAAAATGAAACAGAATTAAAATGAAATGGTAACCTTTTTTTATTGTCACGTGAAATGTGTGATCTTGAAATTTTATTAGTCAAAATTAATGGTTTTTTACATGTTATAATTTACATAATATTAATGCTAATACTACAAAATATTAATTATGTAATTTACATTATCAGTAGTTTTATCTTTAATAATTTTAATGTAATAAATGCAAAATATAGTTTAATTTAAAATTTTTAAATTTTGTGTTGCCTTGTTTGTCTAGCCTATCTAATTGATTTTAGTTTTGCAGAAGCTTTCTTAAATTCTTTGCTGCAAAAGTCTTTATTTTTCCATTTACTCTTACTCTTACAGTTCTATTATTACTACACATAGCAACCACTTCTCCACTTGTACTACAAATTTGTTCTAACTTTCACTTTCTTGTTTTTTGATTTGTATCATGATTACTGGCAATAACAACTTTATCTCCTGATTCAAAGGCTAACCTTTTTCAATAAATGCTTTCTTGAATAATCATTTTGTCCTGATATTATTCATCATTTTTTGCAATCTTCTTTCACACTTTTTCCACTTGCATTATGTGGACTTTATACATAATTTAGCTATCTTTTCCTTGAATAATACTCTGGAGGTTATCTTGAATGGCTTCGGTAATTGTTTTATCTAGCATATTGATTATAACTTGGCCATTATCCTTCTCGATTGTTTTGTTTTCAGCCTGGTCTTGGTAGTTATAGTTTTCAAATTGGTCCCTCTCAGCTTGGGCTTGTTGATCATTCTGGTTCTTCTCAGCTTGGACTTGGACATTTTCTTCGACAACTATTTCACCTGGAGTACTATAAACACCTCGTATTTTGAAACCAAAAAAGGCTTCATAGGGTGATTTATCATGCATGTTATGAGATGTCTTGTTGTAGGCAATTACAAATATTTGAAGGATGTTGATCCACTGATATTCTTGAACTTCAGAAACTTCATCCCATAATATTTTGGTTAAATGATGGCCAAGTGTTTGGTTGAATCTTTCAATTTTGCCCTGGCTCTGAGGGTGACATGCACAGCCATGAATAAGTTGCGTCTAAAAAAATATTAATAAGATTGACAAAAAAGATAAACATAAAACAAATAAAAATCTTTAATATCTCACATGTTTGCTTTAGAACATTGGTTATAAATTCTGACCTATTGTCAGCTTGAAGTTTATTAGATGGACCAACGATCATAAAAATTTTTACCAATTCCTGATGGATCATATCACCTCCTTTGTCATAAAGCAGAATAGCCTAAACATACCACGAAAACATATTAATCATCATAAGAATATAACTATATCCATCATTATATTCTGCAAAGAAAAGAAGATCAACCAAATCAATCTGTACATGTTTGAGGGGATCATCAGCTATAATGGATATTAAGTCTACTTTTTCCTTGATACTAGTGTTTCAGATACAGGTAGGATAATTTCTTATATACTTTCTGACTTCTTGCGTAATACTAACATATTGCTCATAGAGCATTTTGTAGATTTTATGATAATCAAAGTGTGCTCCACCAATGTGGAACTTTTTGAAAAGAACATCCTTTAACTTAGTATCATAAATGGAAATGACTCTTTTCTTGATAGGTGGGGAATTTTCATTCTTTGAAAATTGAACATAGAAAAGATAACCAGTTTGGATATCATATACAAAGTTCTTGCATCTTCTTCAAAAATTTGCCACTTTTACTTGATCATTATACTTGGCAGGGAGCATACCAGACTAAATATAGATAATAATATCATCAAAATTCTTAGGTGTATCCAGTATCTTTGGAAGTTTTACCATATTAGAAGATAATAAATGATTTTGGCAGTTTGATAAAGAGGTGAGAATTTGAAAAGGGTGCGTAAATTTGAAGACATAATTGAATTGGAAAGGGCATGCAAATTTGGAAAGACCTAATTGAATTGGGAAAGGTATGTGAATTCAGAAGGATGCGTGAATCTATTTGTATAGCAAGTCAGGTAAGCTTAAGCTTAAGGAGGTGAGAAAAGACAAAATTTTTTTTGGGTAAGTGAACACAATTTTGTGTTTATCCAGCATGTGAAAATGCTATACCGGATATTTATAAAAAGAAGGGTTTTTTGCTTGTCCAAAAAAATATTTCCTTTCGCATATATCATATATATCACACACTCCATACATCTCGTATACTAAAGATTTTGTTCAGACTTTTACATACCAATATTGGCTTTGCTCATAACGTTGATATTGACTTCTGTCTACAAAATGTTCTAACTTTTATATGACTCAGATTTCATCTTTGGCATCAGTTCTTACCTACAAACATATCAGTAAACTTAATCTTGGTTGGCAACAAGAATCTGGCTGACTGGAGCAAGAATCTCGAAACTATCAGATGGCAAGAGCCAGAGTCCTAACCTATTCCAACACGCTGAAAAGCTTTAGCAAAATGCAAAAAACCTTGATGAGAAAATTGCCATTTATGATACCAAATTGATATTACGTATTTAGTTCCCATTCGCTTATCACCAATTCACCAATCAACTATTGATAATGCAAATCACATAATTAATGTTTTATTGCATTAACATTATGTAAATTATAACATGTAAAAAACCATTAATTTTAATCAATAAAATTCCAAGATCAAACATTTCACGTGATAATAAAAAAAGGTTACCATTTCATTTTAATCCTGTTTCATTTTAATCCATCACAGTTATTAAGTCTCTTAATCAATCAAATACTTATTTAACTTTTTTTTTATGATTGAGTTATCTGGTCTTTTTTCATATTATTATATTTTTTTTGTTAGTTCTGCACATCTTGATATATGTATCATGAGATGATTATTTCAAGAAATGATGATAATGCTTCTGGCCATTTCTATTTTTTGATCATTTAGATTCATTTTGATATAATTTTTTATTTATTTTGTGATATTAGTCATCCTAAGATTTTTATTTCTTTTTACATGAATTAGTATTTAGATAATTTTATTTTAATATTATTTTATTTGAGTAGATTTAATACAGTATTTAGTCTTGTGATCATTTCTTCTTTGTTATTTGCTCTGATGATTATATCATTAATATATACATATATTCAGTCTTTAAAGATTACTAGTTTTAGTATTTCTTTCATTATTTTCTGGAAGAATGTGGAGGCATTTTTTGCTTCAAAGAATATTCATGTTAATCTGAATTGATCTATTCCTTCTACAGCATATACAAAGTAATCTCTGTTCTTTTCTTTTATCTCAATGTGATAATATCCTAAAAATATATCTATTATTATAAAGTATTTGTATTATCCAATTTTTCTAAATATTTTTCTTATGTTGAAGAATATATGTTGTATACTGACTGTTTTTCATTTAGTTCTTTCCAATCTTGACATATTCTCCAGTCTGATTGTTTTGTGATTGGATCTTTTTTCTTTTTTATGGCTATACATGTAGCTTGCCATACTAATTTTGATGATTCAATTATTTCTTGTTCTAGTAATTTTTGAATTTGTTTCTTTGATTCATTTGTTACTTGTTTATTCAAGTTATATGAGTGAGATTGTTTTCCTTTTATTATTTCTATAGGAAAATTTGCTTCTTTTATTACTTCTATTTCACTCATGTGCTATCTAAAATTTTATTAATTTTGTTCTAAAAGTTTCCATATTTTTTTTGAGATTGATAATTGTTGTAATAATTCTTTTCACTATTACTTATTTAGATCTTTTATCAGTTTCTTTATCCATTCTTCTTTTCCAATTGTTCATTCTTTTATATTATCTTGTTCAAGTTCTTGTTCTTTTATTATTTCTTATATATTATCATTATTTAATTATTCTTTTATTTATTAAATTATATCTGAATAATATTTATTATGCATTCCTGTCATTAGTCTAAGTTTTAATAATGTTTGGTATTCATCAAAAGATATCAGTATTCATTCTTTGTTTTTGATCTTTTTTGCTTCTTTTGTTGTTAATTTTAGTTATCTTGTTTTATATGTTATATATATGTCATATCTATTATTGTATCTTTCATCTGTCATTATATATTCTGATTTTGTTTCTAGTATTATTTCTTCTTGTATTTCTCTAATGCATCTGATAATGAAGTCAGGATCTTTTGGATTTATTTTTCTTCCAGAAGTTTGTCATAGTCCTGGCTAAAGATGGCTTCTCAACTGTTGCAATATAGTGTGACAAATAAAGCATCATCTAGTTGCAACTAGTTGTGACTTATAAAATTTTGGAGTTGTAACATATTGCAACAGGTGATAAATAAGTATCACATACTTGCTGCACCATCTTTAGTTCTGGCATTACTTTAGCATTTTTATTACATTGTAATATGATATATATATTCTGTTATTATTATATAATAATGGTATTTGTTGTAATAAGTCTGGTAATACTATAGCATTAGCTTTTAAGTATTGTTATTCTTGTACTGGTATGTATGCTGAATTTGCTACTGAAATTATGTTCTATGTAGGGCATCTTAAGTCAATTTCTTGTATTATTTCTGATCTGATTACAATATAGTATTCTCTTTGTTAGTTATTAAATTTGTTGATTTAATCATCATATTCATCTGGTATTATTTTTAGGTCATTTAATTCTATAGCAAAGTTTTCAAATTCTAATTCTACTGGTTCTTTAATATTGTAGATTGTTATTATCCTGTATCTAATATGGTTAAACTATTCATCTGCTTGTTTTTTTTGGATATTTAATCTTGTCATTCATGATGACATATAGTCTTTATTGGAGTGTTATTCTATTTCTACTTGAATTTGTTGATCATTAATGATTGTGATATAAGTCCAATATATATTGGTATTGGAATTATAATAGAATTATGATATTTGTGCTGTTATTAGTTCTTCTTGTATCAATATTTGTGATGATATTTTGTCTTCTGTAATTCTTAAGAATTCAGATATGTTTGATCTTGTTGATTAATTTGTTCTTGAACTAGATTGTGATCTTGATGGTATTCTTTATATTATTCTTTCTCATGATAGTTCTGCTATTGGTGTTATAGCTAAAGAATCTCTTAATAATGATTGTGATCTGTTGATTACATCAATTTATTATTTGTATTATTCTTTTTTGATTTCTATTCCTATTTCTTTGAGTATTTGTTATTCTAATTCATTTTGATCTATTATTTCAAAGAAGTCTGATTAATCTGATTCTTAGTTTTCTTTCTTTATTTCTTGAGTCTGATATTAATCTTGTTTATATAGATAGTATTGTTCTGGTGATCTTGATTGTTGTGACTTTCTTTCCTGTCTAGAGCTTGTACTAGATTGTGTATTTCTCTTAGATTAGTTTTTATTATAATCTAATAATCTTGATCATGATTTTAATTGGAATCTAGATGATCAGTTACTTCTTCTGTTAAGTGGATATTATTTTTTTTCCTATCTAGAACTTGTTTTAGATTATGCATTTTTCTTGAATTTGGTTATCCTGCTTCTGCTTGATGAACATGATGTTGAATGTAATCTGGATCTTGATCAAGAGTTTGATGATTGTGAACATGATCTGAATTAATTTCTTTTTGCATTTTTCTTTTGAATTGGTATGGTTTCATAAAAGCATTATGTCTAGTATTTTCTTGTATTAGTCTTTTAATATATTCTTTATCTGAAAAGTAGTTGGATATGATTGATAATAGTGATATCAGTTGTGATGGTAGGTATTATTTTTGTTATTCTAGTCAATATCATAATTCTTCATTTTCTTGCTTGAGTTTGTCTTTTTCTTCTTGTTCTATTTGTTTTTATCTGTCTTGTTCTTCCTTTTCTTTTGCACATATTTCTTCTTCTATTTTAAGTTTCTAATAATATAATTTTATCCTGTCATATAAATCTTTATAAAAGTTTAGATTAATAATAGCTTGTTCTAGTTTGTTTTTTCATTTTATTATTCATGATGATATTGCTCCTATTATTATGTTTTTATCTGATTCTCCAAGTTTTTTTTAATAGTATTTGATTCTTTCTTTGTCATCAAGTATTTTTTTTTATAATAAGCTATTCTATTCTTTAAGAGTTCTAATATCTTGTAATAGTTCCACTGTTTTTGCATTTCTTTCTATTATATAGATTTTGATTTCTGTTTTAAGAAGATTAACAAATATACATCTTTCATATTCTTCATATTTTTTAATAAATTCTTGTATATTTCTTTGTGATTTATTTTTGTAGTGATAATATATATCTTATATTTCTACTAGTTATTTTTGTAGTATTCTTCAAGTTTCTTGAAGGTAATTCATTTATTCTTTTTCTTTTTTATTTCTTGTTTCTATTATTTTTGTTATTTTGTTATAATAATTTTGAAGTTTAATGATCTCTTATTTTCAAAATTCTCTTCTTGATGTTTCTAGTAAGTATTATGTCTATTTGTTATTTAAGTATGTATTTGATTATTTGTTTAAGTAACTTTCCTTTTTCAAGTGATTCATATTAATCTTCTTCATTTCTGTGTATAACTTGTTCTGATATGTCATTAAAATGATATAATCATATTTTGTCTTCTTCACATATTATTTTCTTAAATTCTTCCCATGTGTTTCTTGCAGTATATCAGTATTTTGTGTCTAATATTGCATAATAATTCAGGTACTTTATTATTTTGAATAATTTATTCCAAGTTGCTTCATAATACTTTATTGATGAGCTATTTTCTATATAGATAGATATGTTAATATTATTTCTTATATATTCCATCTGCTATTAAATTCTTGTAATATAATTGGAACTCTATTATTATTTTCTTTTCTTGTTTTGCTTTCACAATATATTATTACTTTTTTAGTATATAAATATTCTGCCTATTTTATTTCTTTTAATATTCTTTTCATTTATCTATATGCTATTGTTAGATTTATTAATAGATATATATAATTATTAGATCTATTTTTTACTGATAGCTATTTATAGTATATTCATCCTTTCTTGTCTTCATTAGGTTTTGATAGAAATATCTATCTAAAATCTTGTATGTAATTATTTTTTTCATTCTAATTATTTCTTCATTAATATTATATAAATTATTTTCTTCTTTAATTTTATGATGCTTTTCTAGATATGTAATAGATATTTCAATTTGTTTCTTTTGATTCTCAAATTATAATAAGCCTTTGATCCAGTTTATAATTGTCTTATAAGCATGAGTCTAATTATCATTTACAGTTACTAATATTTTAATCTTGATTAATTCAGTTTCTAAAGTAATTAGTAAGTCAATTACTTTTTCAAGCACTTTCTCTTTTTGATCATTAATACTAATTAGATTTATTATACTAGATCTTTGAATCTTCTAATCTATCTTTTTCAAAAATTATTGAGTATATTACTCACAGTATCACTATTAATTATAATTTTACAAGGTTTATTAT